ACCCTTCCTTTATCCATGAGAAGAACCCTAATCCCACAACTGTAAACCGCAAAAGCTCACCTCCCAGCCTGCTACTAGCAAACAGGCAAACAAGCTGACAGAGAATAAGGCGGATTTCTAGCTAGATTCTGTCAAATAGTTAGAGACTAGGCAGCTCAGAATGTTTTCGTTATGCCAAACCAGCCAGTCACACTGAACTTCATATTCTGACCGGCTTGTGCATATCTAAGAACTTTCCTCTTTTAACTGCCACGCGTCCCAAGGAGACAGACAAGCAAAAGTACAAAAGCTGTCTGAGTGGCTGGAAGGTGCTCTTCCCCTTGCCCCACATTTCCAAAACACCACCTGTCTAGCGCTCTGAATTGATTGTAGAAACCTGCACAGAATACAAAGGAAAACATCTGCCCACACCCCCGAGCTGGTTACAAGCACTGACTTCAGCAGTAAAGCTTTCCCGATCATTTTACAGCAAGACCGCATCACTCCTGCTCCAGATGCAGAGGTACCCACCTGCTGCTTACATACCACTTAGGGTTAACAGCACAACCATAACAATGATGGTATCAAGGACCTAAAAATGTGCTCCACTAGACCAGAGCAGATTTGAAGCCCATTTTCTTGGGGGCAATGGTGCTAAAAAGCCTGAAGTAGGCCTTTGGAGAATACCTGCACCCACCGTAAGAAAAGCTCTCCCTAAAGCCCTATTGTTTGGCACTTAGCCAACATCCTAAAAGCATGAGAGTTTACTTTTTTCAACAGCACCACACAAATACAAACCTTTAGTACTAGAAACCTGAATGACATAAACATTTCTAGAGAAATCTGTGTTCCCTTTAAAGAAGGCTGCTAAGCTCTTAGAGTCAAAGGTAACATCCAGCAACACAAGTTCAAAGGCACAGTTAACTGCTGTGTTAAAAGAGGCGAGTCTTTGTTAGTGGGATGTATGCTTTATTACGTTTTCATCGATTGTTTTCTTTTTCTTGCAGGATAAGAAAGACATTTCTATTCATCCTATTAGCCTTCGCTCCATTATTGATCAATACTTTCTATTTTTATCTTTGACACAGGTAAACAGTCTTCTCTCTGGGGAAACCTGTCTTTATGTCTTCAATAATTATTCCTGTTCAAGCTCCCTACATGGCAAGAACAGTTTCAAACTTTCTGTAAGCAGGAACCATCTTCAGTATTTCCTCTAGATTTCCCACTCCTCCTGTCCTCCCACTTTTGACAGCTTCACAGAGCTCCAGGCAGCTTTCATAAAGCTGTGCCTGAAACCACTCTAGTCCCTTTCCACAATTCATCAGAACCCAGTCACGCACACGTTCCTCCAAAGCCCTCCTTCCACTACACACTGCAGCTGTCAAGGCTGAGTTAGCCCTCATGGAGCAACTGAAATTTCAAAACACCACGAGCATCCAAACAAGACCCACTGTAACTCACCTGAGACGCAAGAGAACGCAGGCACAGCAACAGTCTGCTCACACACACCTACCACACCAGCACATGCACACCGTGTCTGTCAGTCCGTTCAGCCTGAACCACAGGAGGCACAGCAAAAACAAACCTGTTGCCCACAACCCTGCTCTGGGCTACTGTGCTCCCAGCCCACCCAGCGCCAGGACAGTGACATCGTCCCAATGCCACCCAGGAGCGTGGCAGCACCGGGGAGCGCGGGAGCTGTGCCAGTACGTGTGTGTGCAGGGGGAGTGGGCGGGTGGGCTGAAGCAAGGACACGTGGCGGGCGGGGGAAGGAACTGAGTGGGCTGCACTGGGGGAGGTGGACTATCCCGTCGGGGGTGTACTATCCGGAGAAGGCTGTGCGGGCTGCACTGGGAGCTTGTGGGGACACGCGCGTGTCTGTCGGCACGGAGACCGTGCGGGAGGAATGTGCGCGGAGGGGGAACGGCGGGGGCGACCCTGGGACGAAGGGGGGACACGCCGGGGGGAACCGGGCGGAGGGCTGGGGGGAGCGCACGGCGGGGATCGCGGGGGGCGACGCCGGGGAGCGGGAGGAGGGATCGGGGCGGGAGTGAGATCGCGTCCACGCCGGGACGATGCGAGCGAGTTCGTGGGGGCCGCACCGAGCCACCCCCCCACCAGCGCGGCTCCTCCTGCCCGCCCGCAGCCGCCCCCGCGCCCCGGCTCGGCGGCCACCCTGCCCCCGCCACGTCTTACCCTGCAGCGGGCGGGCGGGTGCGGCCCAGCCCGGTGGGGCGAGGAGGGGTCGGGTCGAGCCCTGCCCCGCTGCCCCGCGGGCGGCGCCGGCACCGGCGCGGGGGCGCGGAGGCCTCAGGAGCCCATGGCGACGCCGGGCCCGGCCCGGCCCTGCCCTCCCTCCGCGCCTGCGCACGGCCCCGCGCGCCCCGCCCACCGCCCGCGCTCAGGGGGGCAGGGTGACGTCACCGCCCCGCTCTTAAAGGGGCGGGGGCCGCCCGGGAGGGTGACTCGGGGTTTGCCGCAGCGCCGGGAGGAGGGATGAGCTTCCCGGAGATGGGCGCTCCAGCAGCGCTCTTTCCCCATCAGGCCGGCTAAGGACAGCACTGCCCTGAGAAAGATTCCCCCCGAGGCATATTTCCACCTCTATCTCAGCGCTGTTTTCGCCCACACTCCGAGGGGAAAAAAAAAAAATCAAACATAGAGCTGTTGGGAACGTCCCCCAGACTCCCCAAGGAAAAAAACATACATATAGGTATGGGTGTTGGAAACCAAAGTGGTGCCTCTATTCGAGCCAAAACAAGGCATTTTCAATCTAAAAAAATAAAAAATTAAAAACCCCGAACCAAGCCCTAAAACCTTTAATAAACCCACAAAGTGCCTGCACAGAGGGCTGCATGAGCAAGAGGAGGTGACATCCTGCCTGAGATATGCCTGATGACTTTCTCCTTTTCTCCTACTGCTTTAGGACACTTGTCCTCTCGAAACACAGGTGCACCCGTGGAGCTGCTACCTCACACCTCCTAAAATGGCAGCATGTTTCCCCTCTGTCACAGGACAGTACTCCTACCCGAAACCCAGCAATCACTCCTGAATCCAGCCAGATCATGGCTCTGCTGCCTGCACCACATTGCAGTGATGGGGGTGTTGTCTTCCACACAGGCAATGTTCCTCTTTCTCACTGAAAACAGGATTTACAAAGAAAAAAAGTCCAGTTTCATTCTGATCCATCACAACCACAGTCAAAATGGAGGCAGGACAAATGCAGTTTAGAGGCAGCAGTACAATACCCCTGAACTACCCTCTTCTTCCCTACCCTCCTGCTCTTGTCTCATCCCAGAAGCTGGAAGCCTCACACAGCAGGGAAATTAAGGAGAAGCTCTTCCTGCTCAGCTGGCAGAGAACAGGCTTGGAAGGAATTTCCGAAGTCACCAAGATCCGTCCATTTATTCCTAGCAGGTGTTTCTGAAAATCATTTTCAAGAGTTTTAGAGAGCCTGGCAGTAACAGGCCTCTCATCTGGATAATGCAGGGACGCACAACTACAGAAGCAGAAATTTAGAAGTAAATCAGTATTAAAATTCAGTAATTTACTGCCAGACAGGTCAGACAACCAAGGAGGGAAACCCAAACAAACCACACCGCCAGAGACACCAAAGCAGCAGGTGCCACTTCACAGGGAGTTCAGCCTGTTTTCATCAGGCACAGTGGTGGTGTTAGGTGCTCAGGGCTGATACTCGGGCCCCTCCTCTTCCCATTCCTTCAGGATTTAAGTTAGAAGACAGAAGAAAGCAAGAAAACACATAATCCAGAGTCCACGTCTGTTGAAGTCACTGCACACCCAAAGCCAACGGCGCAGACAGTCCCATCCCTCTCCTGCTGAAGGCCAGATGCACGGGACGCCAGAGGCTCAAATCCAGGAACCAAGAGATCCTGAATCAGATTTCACATAACTCTTGCCTGTTCCAAGGCTGTAACTGCAGAGATCAGCTCAGGTTTATTTTTAGGCGCTCCAGTCCTGTGCCTTTTTTCCAGTAATTCTGATCAAACTTGTTCCTGGAACTCAAAAACAGGTTCAGCCGCAAGACAGTGCTTCCTGCATGTAAGATGTGACTCCCAGCAAAGATACCAGGGTCAGTGAAGGAAGAAAGGACAGATGCTGGCGTCACTTTATCATTTTCTACTTTATTACTTCAAATTAACAACCACGATAAAGCTCAAAAAAGTCCAATATTTACACAGGAAAAAAGTACAAAATCCCCCCCAAAGTTCTTCAGGTTTTTTTTTTTTTTTAAATTACAAAGTAATAAAAAGTTTTGCTCTTTAATTAAAAAAAAGAGAGAGACAGTAAGAGGGGTAAATAAATTAGGAAAAAAACAGGGAGGAAAAATGAAGTGTTAAATAGAAAGGGTAAAAACAAACAAAACAAAGACTAACCCCACCCTCCCCGCCCTGCCAACAACCCATCGGCTCCACACTACAGTGACAGTGTGTCTGCTACAGGCCATAGGTCGCAGTGGTGATCATTGTGTTTCAAAGCCCCAAGTGCCACAAAGCAGCTTGAGTATTCCTAAATTATATTTAAAAACAACTAAAGTGGGGGGGAAAGGGGGGGAGACGGATGGGAGAGGGCAGGAAGGGATTGTGCATGTATTGGTGGATCTTACTTGGGGTTGCATGAGGGAAGGAGAGAGCAAGAGCCATCACTCTGACAGAACTCCAAACTCCCGTTTCTGTGCGCCCCTCTCTTCTCCTCAAGTCCCACACTCTCTCCGCAGGAATTAAAACAAGTTTTAATTAAAAAATAAAAATAGAAAAACACGCACAGCCAGACGAAAAAAAGACCCCGCTGCAGGGATGAGAAGTATATTTCTCCCTGTATTCCAGCTCCAACGATCCCATCCTCCATGGCACCAGGTGCCTCTCCATAGAGATCCCTCCGTGTGTGAGGACTGCTCGGTTCAGGGAAGGCTGGCACTTCTCCCAACATCCAAGAAAGAAACCGCAGAGAAGCCACCCAAGGAAAGGAAGCCCGAGTCAATGATTAGGCTGTTGCCACAATTCCCCTCACAGCTTAAAATTCGTTTAATGCTCAAGAAAATAAATTCTGTTATAATAATAAAAATCAGACTTCTACCATCAAGTGTGGCTGGAATCTGATTCGCTCCTGGCCCACAAGGCTCCTGAAAAGAACAAAACAAACAAAAAAAACCCCAACAAACAAACAAACAAACAAAAAACTCACCCCCCACCCTGCACCATCCCTTGCCCTCAGATAAAAAGGAGAGCAAAGTTAAAATTTATATGGCTACAAACCATATGATTTCAAAATAATATTTAACAAAAAAAAAAAAAAAAGCAGGGGAAGATACCCAAGAAGAAAAAAAAAAAGTAGAGAAATCAAAACCAGGAGCAGAGAGTCAGGAGAAGGAACTGGGGGTAGCCCGTGGGGGCGGCGGTCAGGGCTCGGGGGGGCAGTGGAGGTGATCCCGCACGGCTCCCGCGTTGTCAGCTCCTCGGAGGCGTCGCGCTGGAGGACGCGGGTGGCCCTCTCGGAAACGGCTCACACCAGCGCGGGGGCACAGCTCGACTCCTCATCGTTGGCAAAAAGAAATTCTGTTGGGTTTTTTTGTTTGGTGTTTTCTTTTTTTTTGTCTTTTTTTTTTTTTTTTTTAGTTTTTATTTGTTTTTTGGGTTTTTTGTTTTTTAAAAGAAAAATACAGTGAAGACACTAGAAAGAGAATTCAAAAGAGAGAAGAGACATTAGGAGAAAAGATTCTTCCCAGCACTTCCAATGCCAGCTGGAGCATCACAAGTCATATCAGCCCTTTCTTCTACACTCCTGCCTCCCCTTGGAGTTACCTTGCCCAGCTACTGTCATTTCCTCTACAAGAGGCACTCACTAGCTGTGCAAAGTCTCACGCACTTGATTACACGCTCAGCACCCTCCTCCCCAACACTATCACACTGCCAGAAAAGCACTCATGAGGAACTAACAAAATGGCTCCCCAGCCCAGCACCTTATCCACCCTCCCTACCCTCCTGGAGAAATGGAAGCTACCTTCACACTTTAAGACAATCCATCCCCTCAAGGTTTTGGCAGCCAACCTTACTCTTCCCTCTGAAGCCAAAAACATCTCAAAGTAAGATGAAAGGAAAGGAAATGTACCAATCCCCCACAACATCAGCAAAGTCTTAACCTAAGGCTTTTTTTCCCAGCAATTCCACCCTTGGGGGTTCCCAGGCATGAGGACAGGCTCACCTAAGCAAACACTGGTCCAGTGGCAATTGCTCCTCACTTCCCAAGGTGATCAAATGGCACACTTGTCTACAAAAGAAAAAGAGTTGCTAAGGTTGGAGAGGAAAAAGAAGACACCAAAACAGAGAGGCTGCACGTTTCTTTCAGGACATCCCCCCTCCCAAGAGTTTACTATTCCACTCCTCCAAACCACTGTGGTCTGGAAGAGACCCAGACAAAGTCTTACTCCAAGCAAAGCAGAGCTAAGATGACAGTACCGAGCATGGCCTCCAGAAAATATGTAACTGAAGAGTGAAGGTGTAACTTGGTACCACTCCCCTCACCACACTAGAAGTTTCAGGCTCATGTCAGCTCCAACAGATCAGCTAAAAACTACTCTGGGGCCCATAGCACTTCTGGAATATCCAGTCCAAGGCCATGAACATGGCAGCAGGGACTCACCTGTGATGCTGAAATCCGTGACACTTCTTGCCGCCCTGTGAGGTCAGATGAGGAGACATTGGCAGGAGCTCCTCGGTGTAACCTCATGCTGACCTTCCGCTCCCTGTCCACTCTTGAGATTGCTCTGGGGGACGTGTTGCCTGTCAGGGCAGAGAACCATCGAGGCAAGAATATCAGTCAATGATTTTGGTTTCTAGCCAACAGCAGGGGTGGCACCCTCCCCAAGCTCTCCCATCCCACTCACCGGACTGCTGGATTCGGGAGGTGGGGGTGGAGGCCATGGGCTCAGTGACATTGCGAAGACGGTTGGCAGTGGCTCCAGCAGGCGGGCCAGGGGGCAGTGCTCGTGTGGCTGACCCTCGGAGTTGCCCCATCCTCTCCTCTCGTTCATGCTCTCGCCGCTCCCGATCCATATCCTCAGGGTTCCGGGCTGCTCCCTGAGGAGAGAAACCCCCACGCCACACATGGCTGTCAGGCAGGAGAGACAGCAGCAGCCCCGGACAGAAAGCACATGGTACTCCATCGTGCCAAGGAAGTGGAGCTCCATCCCCAAAACATGGTCTCCCCCCACTATCTTCCACTGCACCAAGAGAGGACCTCATTCTGTTCCATGAAGAAACAGGGAAGAAAGCATATGGTACTACAGCTGTTACTGGAATCCACTGTCCCACCTCCAATTATAGTCCTCTCCTGAAAAATTATCTCTACCTACCTATAGCTACAGATCAGACATACTCACTAATACAAGAGTAGCTATACCCCCAGTTTGCACCAAGTAACTCTGCCTCTCTTCACTCTACCCGTCCCCTCTTTCAAGTTGTTCACCAAGGCTATGTACAAACAGCAGGCAGTTTCCAACTTTCCTTCCCCTCCCCATGATAAAAACCAACTCCTCTCCAGCCCTTTTGCCACACACACACACTCACAAATTTCAGCATGTTCCAGTCAAAGACGTAGTCGTAGGAGAAGCCTTGGCGGTGGAAGAGGTTGCGGAAGAGTTGCCGCAGGTACGAGTAGTCAGGTTTATCATCAAACCTCAGCGAACGGCAGAAGTTGAGGTATGTTGAGAACTCAGCTGGAGAGAGCAGAGAACAGCTGGCTGCTGAACACCATCCAACCTTCCACACCCTGCCATGGAGCCACTGCAGCATTTCAGCAGTGGCTTGCTGGACCAGGACAGCACACACACAGAGCTGTATAACAAAAACTGAGCCTGCTGGTTTGGTTGCAGTGCTTTGGCCACTAAGAAAACCCCATCCCTATTTTTACCACGAAAAATGCTCACGCATCTCTCTTTGTCGGTTTCTCCAAGCAAGACTCAGCAAGTCCTGCAGAGCCTGCTGAAGGACAGTAAGAATGCAGGCCTAAAGAAGAGGTGGAGGTCAGCTTTGGGAATTTCAGCTCAAATCAGAAGTCCTCCTAGTTCAGCAGTCTATCTTAAGCAGTAGCCAGAAGTAGACAGCTACAGAGGAGAAAGCGTGAGGCAAGCATGTTTGACACTTCTATTGACATTAGCCCAGCTCCCACCTACTTTCAGCTCCAGGAATTTCCTGATCTGGATGTGGTTTCTGACTATTTAGTAACCCTCCACGAGTCTCTCTTCCATGTACTTGTCCCATCTCTCCTTGAACTCCAGTAAGCTTTAAGTACCCACACCAACTTCTGGGAATGAGTTCCACTACTACTATTACAGTCTACTACTGGCTGTGTGAAGAACTGCATCATTTTGTTTTGAAGCTAGCAGAAACCAGCTTTGTTTCTCTTCCAATACAAAAACTGGGGCCACCAAATAATTGTCTCCCACCCAGACTTCTGCATAGACTAGCGAGTGCATAGACTTCTATCATCTCTCTATTCACCTCTTTTCCAGGTTCCAGCAAACTTGTTACTTGTGCAGAAATCACCTCACCTCGGTTACCCTTTTGGCCCTTTCCTGGACCGGTTTTCAGTTCTAACACATCCAGGATGGACCAGAGCTACACAGTGCACACAAAGTGCAAATAGGCCATGGGCTTATGCATGCTGTTTGCACAAAATTGCCATGCACAAAATTTCTGTTTTCACAGAATCACCCATTGTAATTGCAACAGCTCATTGATGAGTGGCACCGGTCAGTCGGGGTCTACTATTGTGCAAATGATGTGAGGACCAAGACTTCTCTCTGTTCTCACATACATTACCCATGTTTACCTACAAAGAACTCCAATTGCCACTTCATTGCCTGGTTATTTCTGGGACTCTTCATTAACCAGTAAAAACTCAGGATCACCAGCGTACCTTCTCAGCTCATTGTCCATCCTGCTTCCAAACTGCTACTGAGGTCCTAAAGATCCCTCTATCCCCCTCAGGACTCTCACGCCCTTACTAACATAAGGTTTCACTCTCCACAAAAACACATTTCCCACTTCTGAACCAGAACTGTACCACCTGTTATCCTTCTCATCACTGGTGTCAACAGCACATCCTGGTCTGGGGTACTGGGCACTGCCCTTTAGGATTCAAGATTCCATGGGGTTTCAGCAGGTGAACAAGCCAAGCAGCAGACAAGACAGCCATCAAGATGAGAGCACTTACAAGGGTACCCTTTGCAGAGCACCTCGATGGGCGTTGACATCTTCTTCTCGCTGATCCTCTCGTACTTTTGGCGCTTGGTGGCAGCCTTGAGGCCCTGCCAGGGCAGCGAGCCCAGGTTGAAATACATGAGCACATAACCCAGGCTCTCCAGGTCATCACGGCGACTTTGTTCTGTGAGAAGATACAAAGCAGCAAGGAGTGAGCAGCAATCAAAAGTACTCTGGCAATCACATAGCTTTGGTGCTAAACACAGAACAGAACAATCACTCCTCTCTCTTCTTTGGTACATTTCTATGGATAGACAAACTTGTAGAAGACATTCCAGTGCAAATTCCTGTGAGGACGGTCATATTACAAGAGTTAAAGTGCTCCTCTCCCCATATGGCCCCACCCACTTCATAACTAATGACTCTGACTACCTCCTCACTTGGACAAGCCTTAATTCACACAAGAATTTAACAGCTCAAGAAGTGCTGCAGCAACACTGCCTACTTTGCTCTTTCCAGTCCCAGAGGAAGGGCACCTACACTTCTCCACCCAGAATGATTCTTCAACCCAGGGATTAGTCATGACAGAGGTAGTCACAGAAAGACAAGTCTAACAGAGGTAAGCCCAACACAACCCTTTCAAACACATCTTCTAATTAAACTGCTGATACTCTTTAGGCAGGGCAGAAACAAGGAACTAGGGACCCCTTCTAGTAGTAAACAACTTTGTTAATTGTTTAGAGGAGTCTAACATGTAATACTGTGCAAAGATGTCTTTCCAGCTTGGTGGCATTTTTCAAGCTGTGGAGGAAAGGGGCATACTTTGAACAAAAGGTTTCCCTCCAAATAGGAAATGACTGTGTAAATGGCAGCACTACCAACTCTACTAAGAGCAAGGGTTGCCCTTATTGTAAGGGCTCGCTTTTAGATGCTTACTTATGGAACAAAAAAAATTGCCTCACAAAAAAAAAAACCCTTTCACATTGAACTTGTTCTCTGGAATGGCCAAGCCATTTTAAGTTTCAAGCTAGCTCAAGATGGATTTGATGCAGAATCTCAACAACTGCAAATGTTGACTGGTTAACTTGTGAAACTCCTCCCAGCTCCTCCAACATGCTTGCAAATTCATCTATAAATCTTGCCAAGAAGCTCTTGCCCTTGTTTTCCTCCCAAATAAAATAAACATTTTGGAAAAAGTACTTTACATCTTGAGTAGAACAACCACTGACACAGATAACAGGCAGGCAAAATATGGCTTGAGGGAGAGCACAGGGATAGAGGAAAGGCTAAAGAGAATCACCTATTAGATTAATTCACTACTACAGCACATTTTGCTGGATTCAGTGCTACATCCTGGAAAATGCTGCAGATTATGTGCTGGTCTGTGGGTTAACTGTCAGTATCAGTTACATGCTACCACCTGCCCCATTCAAAGGCCAGTAGATCATTACAGCTACCCCTTATTCTGTTAGCTGAGCTAAACCCTGACAAAAGATTAGCTTGTAGCAGGTCACAGATACAGATGTCCAGCTCCTGAGGGTCAACATGGCTCTTTCTTCTTTCTGCATCTCTCTCATAATCTCCTAGTGGTTTTGAGAACTCGAGGCTTGGCAAGTTAAAACTACTGAGAGGGGGGGAAAAAAAAAGGAAGCAAAAGGGTTGCAGAAGAAAAGGGTCTTATTCCTTCATAACTGAGAGGAGAGAGCCTTTGGGTCAAAGCACATGAAACACCATAAAAAAAACCACATTCCAAGACAGAAGTAGAGGAGAAAGCAGCCCTGCAGATCCCCAAAGTGTTTTACTTTGAGCATGCAGAAACAACAGCATTTTTTGACCTCACTAACTTACTGCCTCAAGTTGCCCACTTTAAAGGGGCTAATATGTCCTTATCTTATCAGGCTACTGCCAAGGATAATTACACGATTGTCTGGGAGATGCTTAGATGCTATGGAGGGAGCAGAGAAAAGAAACTGAGGTTGCATTTGGCCTCAGGTTGGGATATGTGTACTCTTAGAGGGCTGCAATTACTCATCATGCATATCAAATAAACAAAACTGAACAATATTTGGTAATGACCTACATCCTTAGACAGGAGGCATGTGGAGTCAGAAGGCACACCCAGGGTCTGAAAGTACAGGAGACAAGGGTAATCTCAGTCCTGCAATCTGGCAGCCCTTGACTTATCCATGCTGTACCTTTAAAGCGTCTACCGTGCTCTAGACAAGAGGAGTAAGGAAAGGCAGAGCAGGGACCAGAGAAACCTACTGAACAAGCAAATCAGCCTTTCAGGAATAAATCAGGCTTTTGCCTCCAAAATCTTGCTTGAACTCCAAACTGCTTAAGGCAGGCTGAATAACACACCTCTACTTGTGTGAAGCACAGCAGTTTTGAGCGCAGTCACCAACCCTATCCAGAACAGGATATGTTCTGTGAACATATGCCTGGGCACAGTCCTAGTGATTTGGGGAAGGCCTGAATTAAAGACTTGAGATTAGGGAGCCTGAAGTCATTGGGAGATGCTACAAGGCCTTAGTGAAGGCCATGAGAGGGGTTACAAAACCAAACTGGGAAGCTAACTAGTATCCATTACATGCATGCAAACACACCTTAACTGTGCCTTAATACAGCAACATGATCAAGGAAAAACAACTGCAAGCAAAACACCTAATTATTAAGATTCCAAATGAATAAGTGTTTGACTGCGTTGCAGCCCCAATGTTTAGTACCTCACATGCTGTGGCAATTGTAGCCCACTTAAACAATTTCACTGAGATTCAAATCTATGATAGGCCTGAAGTACCAACACGATGGGTCACAGATGTGCAGCTACCTCAAAACATTGTAGCAGTCTTTCATCTGTAACCCTAACTACAAGATCCTGATTTAAATCTTGGATGATTGTGAAGGACAACAGTTTCTACATCCCGCTTCTTTGTTTCATCTTCAGTTACTATTACACAGCTCCCAAGTTTAATTATTTCTTTTCCCTGGCCTCATATACCAACATTCCCAGGATATTAGATAACATTAAATAGCAAAGAGTTAGAAATAAAACTTTACCTCAACGCACCAAAGAAATATTATTTAGTATCACTACTTTCCACCTTTAGAAGTCTGACAACCAGTGACTAACACTCATACCATCCCTGGGATGCAGGAAGAAAAAAATCTCACTTTGCAGTTTGAAAAGAGAAAGAGAAATACAAGTAACGTGAACGCATGCTCAGAGCAAGTTAGTCCAGAAGCTGGATTACAATCATGACCTATGATACTTCCTCTCTCCATTTTATTTCAGCCTCTCAGTTTTCCTACAACGGGGGGGGGGGGGAAGGTTTGAAAGACAATTTTATGAAAATGTATTTTTCATAAGACACTCATCCTTTCCCTCCTCCCTCCCAAAACCTCTTCCAATAGAAACACAAGGTCATCTTCCCACACAAGCCAGCACAACCCCTCAAACCCAACCTCTCACTCTGCAAGCAATCTCCTGCCAGTTCCCTCCTCCCACTCCCAGTGAGGATCCAAGCCAGCCCACACCCTCACTCCCTTCACAAAGCAGGGTCCTCAAAAGCCAAGTCAGGGGTGAGTAACAGGACAGGAAAAGACATGCTTGGGCAAAGACGGAAGACTGAGGACTGGTTGTCTTGGACACAAAGTTCCTGACAAAACATGTTTCTTTGCAACCTAAACTGCCTTCTGGTCCCTCTGTCCGGACAGTGTTTCCCTCCACTCTGATTCTGTTCAAAGTGATGCTGCTCCCATACAGGACTCCCTAGAAATTAGCTTTCCCTGGAGCCAGCCCAGCTCTGCAAGCAGACTTAATCAAGTAATGCTTTTCTCACTACATCTGATCTTGCACAAGTTGCACTACAGTTCCCCTTTCTCTCCCCACTGCATGGCAACAGCCTTTAAAAACACACACAGAGATCTGGAATGGGTGACAGAGGGCAGGATGAGCAGGAGGACTTTATGATCTGCACAGCCTACACTGATGCCATCTAGGACACGCACTTGGGAAGGCACTGTCCCCTGCCTCCCACCTCCTGTTACCCAGACAGAGTCCACTAGGCTTTTTCCAAGACTGTCTCCTGGGCACCCCAGGCATCTATTTCAGACTTTACAAGCTACAGTGGGTGCAGGGGACTCTCATCCCTAGAGCATGTGAAAATTGACTGGAATGTGTGAACTAAAGCCTGCACAGACCAGTGACTCCCCCAACGGCAAGTCTCCAGCTGTGGAAACCCTCCCCAATCTCGCCTCCTACTTTTTTCCCTGGTCACTGGGAAAAGAATGTGTTTCCTCCAGACATTGGAATGTCCAACCCTTAGCTTGCACATTCAAATAAAGGCATTTATTCATTTGCTATTCCTGTCACACAAATACCCCAGCACCTGGTTCCTTCCCTCTCCCTAGAGCGCATTAATGTAACATTAAGACAGAGAGTTTAGTCTCTGAAAAGTCAAAAACTTCAGAGTCATGGTTCCCATGGCAATGCTGCTAACTCACAAATGTGTCTGTCATACACCCTGTGGCGAGGTCTTGAGAAACAGGAACTCTAGCTGAAACCTCAGCACCTTCATCCCCTTTCCTCCAGGCAAGTCATGTAACCTTTATGCTGTTCAGGGGAACTATCTGCAACGTGGAGATAATACATCTGAGACCTGTTGTGCCAAGTAACTCACACCCAAACTTTCCCGAAGCAAAGGGCATGAAGAGAGTGGTGGCTGTGCTCAGACTCATGGCATATGCAATTTGCCCTAGGATTACGGTTTAGACATTGTTTGTTCATCCTGACACACAAGCCAAGCGCCAGTAGTAAAGGGCTAAGTTGGGGTGGGACGAATAATGAAGTCATTTGAAAACCACAACCAGACATTTAGCCTCTCGTGATCAGTTCAGGCAGAGCAGGCACACACATAAGAATCGACAGACAGAGTAGTGATAATTATTTTGTGCATGTCTCCTTGTGGCAGTTTCCATGGCTGTGGAAATCTTGACTGAGAATTCAATGGAGAGTCAGTTATATATATGCAGGTCAAGCCAAAATACAGAAGGCCAACTTGGAAAGCTCTACAAGAAGTATTTTTACAGCGTGGAGGAGGTCAGGAGATCACAGCCCACTCTCAACATACAACACTCCCCATTTTTATATAAATAAAGCATTTTCCACCTACAGCTATATAGTATTAAACAAAGAAGACAGTGGGAAACCACTTTATTTTCTGCAGGTCAAGTATTGACTCCAGATATCTGAGAAATATCTGCAAGAGGGGAGAGTGCAGGAAAAATGAGGTTATGGAATCCTGTGGAAGCTGCTAGTTTAAAAGGTTTGAGTTCCTTGCTCTGACTTTCAAATTCTCAGGTTATACATTTCAGAAGAAGGTCTCCCAGAGACACAAACTGAGCTGCAAAGACAGTAGCTATTTTCCTGGGTTCACAGGCAAGACAGCTTCAGTGTTTCTGCTCCTCAGATTTGCCAGTTAATAGCAGGACCAAGTCAGCCTTGCTCAGAACAGACCATATGGTAACTAAGGAAGCCTCATACTGAGAACGAAGTTTAGCAAAAATTTAGCAGAGGAAGGAGGTCAAACATTGGAAAGAAGCTTTTGGTCAGAGAACAGAAGAGAAAACTGCAAGAGGTTTTCAACTATGTTCCTCACAGCCACCAGGGGCTGATTCCCAGGACAAGAATTTGGGTGACTCCAGGAGGTTGGAGCACAGTGGGCACTAACCTGGTCGAGGTTTTTACAAAACCTGGGATGATGGTCAGCACCAGTGTAAGACCTGGCTGAGCTCTCAGCATGCTTTCCCAGCCTAGTTTCGTTCCCACAGTACTAACCATAGACACTGAGGGCAGAGCCCTACCTCCCTAAAGCTGCCTCAGTGGTGAACAGGGTAGTGTGGTTCACAGACACACAGGTATTTTGAAGAACCATGATAGCCAGTTCTCAATCACAAAACCTGGATGTCCAGCCAGCTGGAAGCCTTCCCTCATTCCAGCTTCCCGCACACTTTCAGCATATGGCTGGCCCCACCTTCAGTGGTGGACCATATTGCAGCAGGCCTGTATCCTCCAGCTCTGACAGCTACAGAATATTCATTGATGAAGGTGCTTGGGAGTCAGCAAGAAAGGTTTCAATTGCACACATTCCTAAAGGCTCAGTGCCTGTGAATGTCTCCTTTACACATTTAATCAGCCTGCAAAAATTGTGCAAGGCAGATTCAGTAGCCGTGGAGTCACAGAGGTCACAGCCTTGACGCTCAACAGGGCCCCACTGCACTAAGCAGTGAGTGCACAAACATATACTGGTAAGACAATTTCTGTCTTCAGAAGCTCGAAGTGCCACCAAAGGCAGGACAGGTAACACAGGTCTAGCATTGAAGTTACTTGCCCACCATCTCAAGGCGGGTCAGTAGCGGAATCAGGCACAGAACCCAACTCCCTCCTTCTGGGGACACTACCTCCCCTAGAAAGCCCCACCAAGGGGAAACAGCAGGCTCACCAATTCCCAGGTGGGTGTTGATAGAGGCATAACGGGCTGTGCCAGTCAGATTCTTGTTTTCCCGGTAAGGGATGTGCTGGTGGGTCCGGGCATCTCGGTACTTCTTGGCCAAACCAAAATCAATGATGTATACTAGGTTGCCTTTTTTGCCGAGGCCCATAAGGAAGTTGTCCGGCTTTACATCCCGATGGATGAAGTTCTTGGAATGAATGTACTCAATACGGCTGATCTGGAGTGGGGGATAAATAAATAAATAGTGAGACAAGCAAGAAAAAAACCTACCTTAACTGCATCTGCTAAAAATAGTACCCTGTCCAGGACACTGACCTGTCAGAGTAGGGAAAAGGACATTTCACAGAGAATATCAGAGATGACGGCCAAGGAAAAGACACCTTTTGGAGGCTGTGGGATCTGTAGATGGAATTCAACCCTGCACACTAGCCCAGTCCTCACTTTGGGGAGGTCATCGTTAACACCACAAGGAAGGGTGGGAAGCAAATCTGCATGAACTAAAACTTTGAGCTTCAGCATTGACAGCTGTCAGTTTTCAAACTTAGACAGGCTGGGAAGGTAGGGGGTCCATCCACAAGAGCTAAGGATCTTAAACACAGGGCATGGGCAGTTGAATTGAGATAGGTAGTGATGCCAATCATTCATCATGCAGAGGCAAAAGTATCTATGTGTGCAACACTAACACAGGGTGAGCAGCAGGGGAAGGAAAGAGAGATGGAGATCAGGAAAAGTCATCAGTGTCTAGGTTCCAGGCCCCCAGCTTCCTTAAGAAATAGAAAGCTGGCAGCCACTTGTCACTAAATGAAGAAAGCTTGGGATATAGCAGTTCTTAAGCAGAGGAGATGGGAGGGAAAAAAAAAAAAGGCATGGAAAAGGAGAGTAGGCACAAATGCTTCAGAGGAAACTCACCATCTGGTCTGCCAGGAGCAGAACTGTCTTGAGACTAAATTTCCGGGAACAGAAGTTGAAGAGATCTTCCAGGCTGGGCCCCAAGAGCTCCATCACCATCACGTTATAGTCCCCCTCTGCTCCACACCACTTAATGGAGGGGATACCCACTGGGGAAAGAGAAAGATTAAGCCCTCGGAACAGAGACTAGATGCTGCATCCCCTGCTGAGAAGATCATATGTAACACCAAATCATTTCTTTCCTAAGGCCCTCCAGAATAATTTCCTTCTTCAACCACTCCCCCGGTCCCATCTTCTCCTCCCCATCTCACCTCCTCCCTGCATCATCTTGTAGAACTTGCTTTCAATGTGGAGCTGGGGATGCTTGGTTTTGACACATTCCAGTTTGATGGCCACCTCTTCACCAGTTGCAATATTGGCTCCTGCATAGAAATGAGAAGTGAAATGAAGATTGCGCAAGCTTCCACTGAAGTTAAACACTTTTAACAAGGCCTGTAAAAATGCCAAAACCTTAAGATTTGCCCTGAAATTTATTCTCTGTGACAGAAATGAGATTCAGCTATTTCATAGAGAGTTTCCAGCGCTGCCATTTGCAAACGCAAGGCCAGAGAAAGGCATGTGAATAGGAAATCAAGTCTGACCCTGCAACCCAGGCTAGAACAACAATCTTGCAACATGTTAACTGCTTTGTTATCTCAAAAAATACCAGACTTTGGGAGGTCAATCTGTACCTATCAACAGTACCTAAGCTAAGTGGAAGTTGTAGCTGCCTCTGATCGTATAGCCAGACCCTGAATGCAAGTCACCCCCAGGCAGTGATACAGAGTATCTCTTCCCTAGCAAAATGACTAGTTACCTCAGTTACATCATTTCAACAGAGCCAATTAGTTCAGGAGGAGACATTACTAACATTCCCAGCTATCTGTTTTCTCCACAGCCCTGACCTGCTCAATACAGACAATTTCTAAGTCCCCAGCTTCTCCCTCTCCTGAGGGCTTCAATAATACCTTTATCTTTTGCCAACACAGAAACATTTGCTATATCCTAAATTAGAAGCGTGAAGAAATAAACTGAATCCAGTCCTGAATTAAGCTGCCCAGACACCTCTGTTGAAGGGATTGCTAGATACTTTGTGACGACACTAAACCACCACCCCACACACTTCTCTCTAAAAACAACCGAGCTGCCAGCTGTGAAAGCCAGCACTCTGGTCCCAAAGTGCTCTGTCAAAGAAGGAACAGGCTGCTCTCTCCCTCATAATAGCTGAAAGGATTCCAGATGTTTCACATCATCCTAAAATGGAAAGAATGAATATCTGTACACAGGTCACGGGAATGACACTCAAGTTTTGCTTCTCTCCCCATCCCGCCATGCCGGCCTCACACACACACACACACAGACAAGCCCTTCCTCGTATCTGGAACTACTAGAAGTTGCACTCAAACACAAATCAGAGAGCTGCTCTGATCATGAGCAGCTTGTGAACACTGTCATAAAATAAACTACTCCAGAACACGCATGCCAAACATGAGCTGGAGTCAAAGGTGACGTTTTGTAGATATCCCATGGCTAGTTTTAGTAGGTCTGGCTAATTTGTGCCTCCTGAACCCTGTGATAAGATTTTAAGAGTCCACAAGGACAGCTGCAGATAAATCTCTCCATTTATCCTCTTTCCCACACCTCCTCCAGAGCCAGGGACCAAAAGAAAAAAAATGGAATTGTTCACACAACTGGATCCCTTCTCCCCCTGGATCCTAAGGATCTCCTGTTGAAGAGTTCTGGCTTGTACACAAATTTAGCCAAGAGCTGCCTGCTAGCAAAAAGACATAATCTAGATGCTACAGTGCCGAGTCGAGACAGACAAGCTGCTAGGAATTTGTAAGAGAGCAACAAAACTGTTCGGGGCCTAGAGGGATTGATTTACTAAGAAAGATTAAAAGAGCTAAATATGTAACATAGACAAGAGATACAACCAAGAAGGGTGGGGAGGAAGAATGGGACATGACAACAGTCTGCAAATATTTGAAGGCTGTAAACACTAAGGAGGGAGAGGAATTATTTAGGGTGCTATAAGGGAGGGGAAGGAGGAGCAATGGGATTAATTTAATAAGGATTTTAACACAGGATTCAGCAGAAGGGAAAGCCAAAAAGCCATCCTCAGAGGTAGAGCCAATGGTTACTTTTGAAAAGATGCTGCCATTTTCCACTTAAAAACTCCTGACCAGAAAAACAAGTCTGTACATTTCCTTCACTGCACCACAAGACCCTTCTTATAAGCATCAGGAGTGCAAGGAGGAAAAAAGCAGGAAAAGGGACTAGTATCTGTCTTTTAAATTAGTGTTCAATCACTGGCCCTCAGTCAGCATGGAAACACCCAGGACACCCAAAAAAGGTAAGAGTGCTTCCTTCCCTCATTCCTTTCTCTTTACCCTGCTTTTGTGAAGACTTTCATCCAAATCCTCTGAAGCAGCTCCCTTGTTCATTTCCCAGGGGAAATTTTTCCCTCTCCTAATCCATTTGCTGACACACAAATATTGGTGAGTCTTTCTGACTTTTGGCAGCATTACCATTTTGAATGAATGCTACCCCAGAAGTTGAACAGTAGAAACATGAATGAGTTCTCATCTCTACATTACCATGGGTGTTTAGGAAGATGACGATGCATCCATCTACTAGGCTGTCTGCAGGTGGGGAGTGTTATCTGTGGGCACATAAAGCTCGAAAAGGGAAAGCAGGGGTAGGCATCAAGAAGACTTAGATTCTTCAAAATGTGAACATGCCACTTATATGTGCTCAGATGGCCCTCAGCCCCACACTCTCCATAGCCCAAACTTAAAAAAAAAAAACAAAACAACAAAGAAACAAACAAACAAAAAGAGGAGACAACCCTGTGGCCTAGAAAAGCAAAGGTGGAATCATAGGCTGGTTTGCGTTGGAAGGGTCATTTAGTTCCAACCCCCTGCCATAAGCAAGGACACTTTTCATTTGACCAGACTGCTCAGAGCCCCATCCAAACTGGCATTGTACACTTCCAGGGAAGGGGCATCTACAACTTCTCTGGGCAACCTGTTCCACTGCAACACCACCCTCAGAGTAAAGAATTTCTTCCTGGTATCTAATCTAAACCTGCTCTCTTTCAGTTTAAACCCATTCCCTCTTGTCTTGTCACTAAATGGTCTTGCAAAAAGTCTCTCCTCATCTTTCTTGTAGGCTCCCTTCAGGTACTGGAAGGACAAAATTAGGTCACCTTGAAGCCTTCTCTTCTCAGGCTGAACAATCCAAATTCTCTCAGCCTTTCCTCATAGGAGACATGCTCCATCCTTCTAACCATTTTCATGGTCCTTCTCTGGACCAATCAGACCTACTGAGGAGCTATTCTTTGACTGAACACTTTAGGCTTGCTCCATCCCCAAACCCCACTGTGTCTACAGGTTGCTCCCTCTACCATTTCTTTGCTAGAGATCCACCCAGATCGAGACCACCACAAGTGAGGAGGGAATCCAAGGGCAGGAATCTCTCTGGTCCTTTGTTCCATGCTTTAACCACCATCTTTTCTTAAGGATACAAGTACAAAAGCAACAGTTCTCTGCTCTCTTTCTAGACTGGAAAGCACCGTGTTTCAGACAAATGCAGTAGAGCCTGCAAGCTTCAGCCACTTGAGAGACGTATGTAGGATCGGGGATAATTCCTAACATCCACCCCCAGTCTCGCTCTGCTGTGGGGGCTGCACAAATTCAACTCATTCATCATGAGCTCTTTGAAACGGGGCCCCGGGGACAGAGGATGTCACCGGCTGAACAGGATCTTTTCAGAGTGGAAGCCTGACTGCATGTTTGATACAATAAACACCGCCCTCCCTGTGCACAGTGGCAAAAGGCCGGGGCCCCCACTCTCCCCACCACCCGCTCCCCTCTTGACAGCCTGTCGAGGGAAGAATGGAGGGCTGGGAACAGATGGAAGAAGGCAGATAGGGCGAGAGAGAGTTAACAGGCCAGGAAACAAAGGGAAGGCACTCCCCTCCCAGCAAGGGAGGAGCCTGCCACCAGGAACTGTCCCCAGCCAGCGCAGGTCCCAGCATGCTTTGTCTGCCCAGCTCCTCTTCACCATCAGTGTGCATCCCGGCCAGACGATTCCTACCAGGTCCAGCTACCCTGCCCTGCCTCTTGGCCAACACCTCTGACAAAGCACCTCCCTCCGACAGCCTAAAAGTATTGGCAATTCCTCTGCAAACTGATTTTGCTCTTCTGAATGAGCAATTTTAGAGGTAAATGGGTTAACCAAGACCCCTCGGCAGTATGATCTCATTTCCCACCCTCCCAAATCAATGTAGGGAGAACATCCCCGCAGCACATCTATCCCCCAAAGTATGCAGGGAAGGAAGGCATTGTGCTTCAAGCCTCAGCTGAGCAGTAACACAGTCCATCCTTTGTGTCTACCCATGTAGAAATCCAAGTTTCCTTCTGATAGAAAAAAAAAACAAAAACAAATCCCAAAGAGCACAGCACGCAGTGCCCACTGGTTACAGAGCAGGTGAAGGCAGTAACATCCTGAAAGAGAGAAGCTGAGGATAAACCATACAGCCCCTGCTCATCCCCAGAGATAAACAAGGCTTGTCTGTCCTTGCTCTGTCTCTACACCATTATCAAGAGAGAGAACTGTGAGGTGAATTTAGTGCAGGAGAGAAGTCCTCGTGAATGAGTCCTTCTGTCTGCAGAGCAGGCTACGAGAGTACAGCATGAGCACAAGCGTCCTCCAGACGCACCATCAGAGAGTACATGCCCGATCCCTCCAGGCTGGGGAGTCACCCAGGCTCCAAGAAGTCTCGCTATCACTGCTTCAAAACATGCTGGCTTGCACCTCAATGAACATCATTGGCTTTGATACTGCATTCAAGTAACCTGGTTGAATCCCTCTGTGCTCACCACACTAGGGCACTGGGGCTTCCTCTGCCTCTCATGTTGTTTGGTTACAGGCAAGGCGGGCACAATCCCCTCACCAGAGCCTGTTTTCCATGCCTGCTCTGCACAGGTGGATGACCTGTTACGTGGTGCAGAGGAACACAGGATCAGGCCTTTCCATTCAGTACCTCTTTTCTTACCCCACATGTACCCCCAGATGTTTTGCAAGATCCTGGCAATTTATGCTGTCCTACAGAGGGTCTGGAAGGCTTCAAGCACTACCATAGGTGGAAAACACTGTGTCTGGGCTATCAGACACTAACTGGCTGGAGGGTCACAGAGGAGTGGCATACAGGAGTAGGCAGCAGTAAGGCAGCACACAGTGGAATTGGGATCCCAGATCCATTATTTATCATCTTTGTTCATGCTCTGGATAAAGGTGGCAACAAAGCCTGTTACTGATGATTCCCACAGGACACTTAATCAAGAGAGGCTGCCAACACCAATCAAGAGAGAATAATAAAGCAAGAGGGAACTGGAGGTAAAAGCCAGAGGCTGAAAACAGACGGTGATTTACAAGCACAGGAAAAAGTAATCTGAACCAGAGGTATTCAACAAAAGGGACTCAGGGAGGGATGGGAAGATGTTGGAGATCCTAGAAGACATCTTCTACAATATAGCTGACAGTGTGCTAAGGCCAATTCTGCAACCTGATAGTGTTGGTGATGGGGGAAGCCAAGGAGACCCAAAGAAGCCTATGCGGAGGCATCACATTACAGATCACTCGAGGGTTAGTCCTTCATTGCCAGGCACTGGAAATGCCACACATCAAATGCAGTGTTGGCTCCAAGCTGCTCAGCAGATGGACAAACTAGGAAAAACTGAAGGAGCAGCAAAAGTGAGGAGTGGTGGATGTACTGGGAAGCAAAATACAATTCAACCAAGCAAATTAACAGTCAAGGAGCACATGACACATCCGTAAGTCCCCAAAGTTTGCAGACACCAAGGGAGAGGGCAGTTGTTCTGCTGGCCTGCAGGACTACAACTAAAAAGGTAGTGGGGAGAACCAGATGACAGGTAAAGCCACACCAACTCTCATGGAGGGATCAATCAGGCTACTGGGTAGTCTCGCCACTCTGGCCCCACATGGTTTGAGCCAATAAAAACATGAGCAGGCAAAGCATCAGGGAACATTAGCACACAGCAGCACACTGGGTTGGAAGAACTTCTACCCAGGTAACCTGCTGCAGTAACAGGAAACCCAGCGCCTCATGGGCTCCGTCCACTGAGCTCCCAGCTCAGGTCATTCCAGACATTAATTCTAAATCCCATTACAGATCTAACAGATCTAAAGCCCAGGAGTTCAACCACACTAGGCTCTCCAACCTGTTTTACAGCTCCTGGTCTCTGACCTCTCTCTTAAAGGTCCAGATCACTTTTTCCACTACTAATCTTCCCAAAACTTTATTCCTTCTACCCTTGAAGGGACAGCTATGCCCTCCCTTTCCACCACCCACTCTTTACAGAGTTAATACCCACACGCACCCAAGCTCAAGAAAAGGAAGTGAGAATGCTGGAGTAGCATATATGTCAAATATGTCCCAAACAGTCCAAATCTAAATCAGTCTAATCAACTACCACCGTGTCTCCAGCATCTGCAAGGCAAAGCTGAGCTCATCCCACTTTCTTTGCCATCAGAAGACTGGCAGCAACTAGCAGTATTCCTTGAAGATCTCTTCTCCACCCCCTCCAACCTTACATGGTGCCCACAAATACCAACAGGCAAGAAAAACAACCCCGAAACAATGATGCAATTGAGAAAAACAACCTGTCAGGTAGAAGGACGGACTCTCACACTCACCTAGGTAAATGTCTCCAAACGAACCGCTGCCAATCTTTCTGCCCAGCCGGTATTTGTTCCCTACTCGAAGCTCCATGGTTCAGTCGTGCTGAGAATAAGAAGCACAGAAAGAACAGTGTCAGAGCAGAAACAGGAAGTGAATCATGTAGCACTCCAGAAGAGACCTCTCCACTTCACCCAGAGGCTGAGTACAGTTTTAAATCTTGAAATACATCACTTTCTACATGGCCTCTATCATCTCTCCTATCTCCTGAACATCCAGGGACAGCATGAGCTAGAAACGCTGCAGGAACACAACCCTCTCAAGCATGTTTTCCATGTTCCCATTATTAGAAAGAAGAATTCAATCTCTTCCCCATCATTTTGTTCAGAGACTGGGGAAGGGATCAGGAAATCTCCCCTAAGAAGGTTTCAGTGGGTGATCATGCCACACCACTGTAAGAGGTACCGCTCCTTGTACCCTACAGTACCTGGCACCAGGACAGAAGTAACCTCATGAGACACCAAAAAGGACAGGCATAACAAACCCTATGAGAAGAAGTTGCTCTCTGGCCCAGCCCTAATCCAACCACCACTCAGTGGTGGTGAAGCACAGGACTCAAGAGCTGCAAGAGACAGACAGACTGTATCACTCGTAGGCAGAGGCTGGCACAAGGGACAGGGAAGAGACATCTTGCTGAACCGAACCCTTCGAGGCACTGACTCGGAACAGCACTTGCTTATCTCCACAGGCTTCTGCTGATGGGATCACAGCCTCCTTTGGTCTACGTGAGCCTTTCCATCTCTGCTGCCTACCTAGGTGTGCTGGCTGTTTGTTTTTAGCAGCTTGGGCCTTTCCTCATCCCTTTACCTGAGGTGATTAGCTAACCCTTTGACCTGATATACCCCATCAACATGCCCAGGCTTAGCCTCCTCACCTTCCACAGAAAACCAACTAGGTGGAAGGACCACAGCCAGAGATTGTTCTCCCTGCCAACCTCAACTTCTGCTGCTAAACACCTCTCCCAAACACAGTTCCAGCAGTTCACCCTTAGCAGACCACTTTCCCTCGCCCCTTCTTATGGCCACCAATTTATTGTAGGAACCACATCTCTTCCTAAGACAGCCAATGCGTCTTCTTTTAGAGGGATTTGCCACAGTCCTAATTTATGCAATGCCACATTATTAGCATACAAAATGCAGACACAGAGCCTGTTGGGGACAGGAAAGGTGAGGAATGATTCATGTTTTCACAAGTGGGTGAGAGGAACTTTCCCTTGCTGGAGCTTGGTGGGAAGGAAGCATCACTGAAGGAAAGAAGGGAGGAACGGCCTTGTGAGACAGAAGTACAAAAAAAAATAATCCCAGCTACAGGATTCTGGGCATACTATAAACCCAGAGCTGCTTCTCCTGCCCCAGGAGACGGGATTACAGAAAGAAGAATGGACGGACTGTAGAGATGTACAGGGAAATAATCCTATCAAGGCATTCAGGGGACATTGTGAACCCTGAAAGCAGAGCTCCAGTCATCAGAAACCACACACAAAACACTTAGAGGTGGAGTCTCCTCACCTAGTATTTACTTATGCATGTGGGTTTCTGTGCATCTAAAGTCTACAAAACCCTGTGGCTATTTCTGACTTTCTTACTACAAGGAATGTAGGCAGAGCCTTGGGAACCAAACCAGGAGGCAGGAGGACCTGGGCGAGGGCACAGCAAACAGACATGATTTTTATCCGCTGCCTGCTGTTCTGTATAACCACATTAACATACATCAGACTTGCTTACACTCCTACTCCAATAAACGATCAAAGGTCTGTGTCCCCGGGAACCTGTCACACCACTGTCAAGAAGACAGCTCTCGAACCTCCTTCCTTCATGGTGTGTTTACCCAGGCCTGTGAACCCTGAACACTTCCACTTGAGTCCAACTCCCAGCTGGGGTGAGCACAACCGAGCACACGGCAGAGACTGGGCAATAGGTCTCTGCGGGGTCTCCTCTGCACCAGGGCACAGTGGATACTGCTCTGCAACACCACAGCCCCAAGCCTAAATTCAGTCCCACCCTTCTGGGACAGACAGGAGCCAGGTTAAGAAGAGTTTCTCACACATGGAGGCAGCAGCCCTTCTAGCTGATTAAGCAACAGGCTCCAAAGGGGAATCTAAAAAATGCTCTGGGGCGCGGGGGTGGAAGCGGGAAGCAGGATAATGGAGTAAAAAAATCATGGTCTCGCACAGCTGTCATTTTGCCTTATCTCCCCCCCAGCACACACATACAAGTGTGCGTAGAAAACCTGGGTGGAGGATAGCCAGGGAGCAACAGCCTGGATTCGTGGTCATGGGGCAGGACACACATCCCACCCCCTCAACAGCTGCTCCAGGAGTTCAAACACCTATCATATTTGCTTCTACTTCACACACGTACCCCCACCATCTACAGCTTCCACTCCTATAATCTGATCTTCAGGTCTACTGTTATAAAGAAAATTTTACATATAAAATATATATTCTTATATGTGACGTTTATATTACTTCCTATATATTATTTATATGTGTAAAATCTAAAACATCCCTCCTACCCCCCCCCCCAGCAGGCTTAACCCCCCCAGCCCTGCCACCCTTCCTGCACTCTACAGCCAAGGCAGCATTCCCAGGGGCTGCAAGGCAATCATTTAGTTAAACCATTTAGTTTTCCATAAGGGATTAACACACATACAACCTCAAAGCGAGTGTGTGCTCTGCATGAGCGTTTGCATACGTGAATATCCAATACTACACAGCCTCAGAAAAATAATAATACTATCCAGCCGTCAGCAGTGCTTACACACACACACCCCATTTTGCACCAGCCCCTTTTATATAATATAAAATACCCACGTACAGGCACAAAGGCCATTATATAAACACACGATAAGAGTTGATACCACACTGCTGTGCCAGATACGATGGCGACCAAAGATGCAGGCAACATCTTGGGCGGGGGGGAGTGGGCTGGGGAACAGGAGGGCCACCTCTGTCCCACCCGAGGGGGTCAGGAATGAGAAGATGCCCTGTCTAGCAAAAGCCACGCAAAACAAAACCCACGGTTCCATAATGGAGGCTGCCGATCCCAGCACGGCTCCGGCTTTCAGTGGAAGTGTGGGGAGTGGGGGCTGGCTTGCTCATAGACCATGGAGGCTCTACACGGCCTTTTTTTTTTTTTTTGGCGGGGGGGGCTGGGTATATGGAGGAAATAAAGGAAAAGACTGGCAAAACAGTAATTTGAACTGGCTTAAAAATGGGATGTAAAAAAGAAAAAAACACCGTTTTGATTGAAATGCAAAACATCAAACCCCTCCAGACCCTTTCACACTTAAAATAAGGAGAGCAGCAAATAAGGTGGGGGGAGAAAAGAAACGCCATGCACAGAGCATTTGGACTACATCTGAGGAAGAAATAGCCGCAACAGGAAAACAGGGAGGGAGGGGGACACATACAAAAAAAAAAAAATGTCCCTTACACCCCCACCCCCTACAGGCAAAACACTACGCGAAGACAGTCGTACCCGGGCTGTTATTTTTCCGGGTAGGTAACAAAAAGCTGCCACCCCCGGGAACGGCGCTGAACTTCTCCTCATCCCCCCCACCTCGGCCCCGGCCGCGGCCATCGACCCCCGCCCGTACCGAGCCCCCACAAGACGAAACGCCGACCCCTACAACCTCCCCCCAAACGCAGACACCCCTTCTCCCCCGAAACAAGCAAAGACGGGGGTTGGGGAGGGAGACAAGGAGCATCAGTGAACGGAAGGGGTGGGGGGTTTAAATCACCCGGGGGGAGGCCCCCCGCCGGGACCCCCGCAGTCCCCCGCCGAGAACACAGGGCACCCCCCTCCCCGATCGGCCCCGCCGGCAGCCAGGCAGGGCCCCGGCAGGCGGAGAAAGGGAAGAGGGGGGAGCCTTCCCCCCCCCCCCCCCCCCCCCCCCCCCCCGCGGGGGGGGGTTTGCCCCCCCCCCCCCCCCCGGCCCGGCGCATCGCGCCCTGCCCTCCCCTCCCCCGCCCCCTCCCCCTCCCTCCGCGCACACAAAGAGCCGGAGGGGCCGCCTTTCCCCCGGGGTTTGCGCCCCAAGATGCGGGCGGGCGCCCCCCATACCCACCCTGACGGGAAGGGGGCCGTGTGGGGATGCTGCTCCGCCGGCTGTCAGGGGGCCAGGCGGCCGCGGCGGGGAGGATGACGGAGGATTGGGGAGGGCTGGTGGCGGCCGTGCCCGGCGCGTCCCTCCTTCGCTCGGCTCGGCGCGGCGCGGCGCTGCCTGCCGCCTCCCGCCCGCTCGCCGTCCCCTCCAGCCGGCGTGTGCTCGGCACAGCCCGGCGCTCACCCAGTTTCCATTGAGCCCCGGAGCCAAACCCACTGATGTCACCCAGCGCAGCCCCGGCCCTCCTCCTCCTCCGCCTCCTCCTCCGCCCGCCGTTAAAGGCGCAACCGCCGCCGCTCCCGCCGCCTTCCCGCCCGCCGCCCTCGGCTTCGGCGAGGGGGGCACACACACACACGCACACGGGGGCACACACACACACACACACACACACACACACACACACACACACGCACACGCACACGCACACGCGCACACGCACACACGCACACGCACACACACACACACACACGCACACGCACACACACACACACACACGCATACATACATGCACACACGCTGGGCTTTGGGGGGCGCGACCCCGCTGAAGTTTTCTCCTTACTGGGGCAACAGCAGGGTAGCCCCACATGGGGATGATCAAACCTGGGTGCTGGGTACCATTGCATTGGCGGCGGATGCCAAGCGGGAGTCCACCAGGAAGGCCAGTGAGGCATCAGAACCACCCTAACCCCACAGAGAGGGTCAGGGCTCCTCAGACCGCACCCGTCAGGAGCAGGAACAAACCTTGGGTGGAGCACTTGCAAATCCACGCGAATGACGAAGCACACATATAAACCCTAACCTGGATGGACAAGGTCCATGGGGCACCCACCAGCAGATAGGTGCAAAGCTGGGAGTACCCCACAGCCCCCAGGGTGTTTGGAGGCCAGGTGGCCACAGCAAGCCCCAGAGCATCTCTGAAAGCCAGCTGATTTAGGGGAGCAGCCATACATCAGACCTGTATGGTGGTGTAGGAGCAGACCCCAGGACAGGGAAGTATTTGCAGGCTCCTGGGAGGTTGGGGCTGGATGGACAAAGGAGGATGGAAGTGCTGTTGTGAGCTCTGGGAGCAGGACTGTAGGAGAGACTGGAGGCCGATGTAGGGTGAGTGGAAAGGGAACAGCAGTAGGACCTGCAGCTAGAGCCAGATGATGCCCAACTTCACAGGTAGGGATGCCTCATCACGGTGCAGGAGATGCTTCAGCACAGTCATCCCAAAGTCAAGAACCACGATTCCTGAAGGAGGAGATAAGTGTGATAGGGAAGAGCTCAGGAGCCCCCATACCAGTACAGCCCTTGGGTGCATCTAAGCCAGGACCCCAATGTCAACTTCCAAACACACAACATAAGCACGGGCTATTGGCACCGAGAGGCCCAAGCTGCAGCCGTGCTGGCACCTTGCACTACAGAAAGCAGTCTCTGCTTCAAGCCATACCAAAATGGTGGACTTCAATGACCTATATCTCTCTGCCAGTTCATGCCCACACTGAGTTGTTGGGCCATTGAGACCTGGGCGTAGTTCCTCACTTATGCAAGCCTTTGGGAACCAGTGGTGTTTCCCTCTCACTGGTGGGCCAGTTTTATCACAGAACTTTGCCTCCACTTGGAGAAGTTAAAATTTAATTGAGTTTTTGTAGTAATGACATTTCCTTACACATGCTCCATTGAACCTCTGTCGTTTCACAGCTTATGTAACAGTGAGCAGATGGGAAAGCAGGTAATAAAGTATGAGCCACTGCCAGATCCAGCCAAGGGTTGGGTTACCCTCCTTCCCTGGGTGGGTGCACATCAGTCGAGAGGGGATTTGCTGGAGCACAGCATCACTCACGATTTTGCTGTGAGTGGCAGGCTCATGCAGGCACTGAGCGAGGTGAGCTCTGACAGAGAGCCTGGAAGGATAGATCTGAATCGGAATCCAGGAGAGGCAACTCTCAGTATGGATGGTGGGAGCAGAGTTTGGGGTGATACTGACTGGCAGGCAAGTGTAATGTCTGTGAGGACAATGGCCATGCCAGCTCTCCCCCTCTTGCTGGCTGAGGCAGTGGGAAGGAATTTGAAAGAATCTCAAATGTAGATACAGTCCTGGGGGATGAAATTGGAGTGTGCACATGGACACTTCAGTTACCTTTATTTTAATCATTTACAGCTTAAAATAAGAACTCTTTAATTAGAAACATTCCCTTAATTGAATTGTAATCAAGTTTTTAGTGCTGGCTAACCACACGATCTAATAACACCCACCTTTCTTCAAGTATTGCCTAGTTACACCTCTTCTTATAGAGTAATTTTTACTAGGGAGCCCGGTCCAGGTGCTGCTGATTTGGCAATGTGTGTAGCAGCCAGTACTGCGGGGACCCTGTCTGCGTCAGGGATGTCAGTGTTCCAGTGATGCAACAGGTAACTCCTGCCCCAGTGTCTGAAAAAGGGAAGTGTTACATAAAACACAAGCAGCAGAAACGCAACTAGAGAGAGGTTGGGATTCGGTTGGAGAGGGAAGAAATTTGTGGGACAAGCAGAATCCATGCTCACAATCTGTGCTGGGTCATCTCTGTTCCTCTCCAGTAATTAAACTGGTGTGCAGCTGCAGTCACATGCATCTTTTCTCCTCTGTGCACTTCTCCAAAGATGAACACCCCCTCAGGTTTAGCCCTAATGAAGCACCACAATACAACAACCGATTTACACTAAGACTGTTCGAACAGCAGCATGTGGAAGGCTGTCTAACCTCCCAGACCCAGCAGTGAGACACAGCTACACTCAGAACCCTATCCCAGGATGAAAATCCTGTAGGCCTTACCTCATCCTGTCTCCCTGGTTTGCCTGGAAGGGATCTTTGTAAGAGCATGGAAGAGAGTCCAAGCCCCTTAGCTCAGCAACTGGGGGACCTGCACCTGGGACACCTCATGCCTACCTTTCCCAGGGTTCAGACATGGTCAAAGCATCCCTAGATGATACAGGGAGTGTTGCTTCTGAAGGCAGACAAGCCGAAGATGGGCTACATGGGGCTACATTTGGCTGCTGTCCTATTCACATGGAACAGGGGAAGGTCCTTAAGCTGTCCCCAGCAGTCAAGCTACAGCACTGTAGACGGAACCCATGGCAACGTGTCTTGAGCTGAGTCTTGTGGGCTGGTGTATCCAGGGGGGCTGTACCTCACTGTGCACGCAGCCAGCCTCACCACTGCCCACCATGTCGTTCCTCAGGTAGGAAAGGAAAAGAAAGACTAAAGTTGCTCTGTTTATTCACAGTGTTATGGTTGGGTGGCCTTCCAGAATCACGGTAGTGATATTCATAGTACCTAGTAAAACTCGTGGGAAAGCTGAGCTTCAGTGACCTAGCAGACCTCAGCTAACTGCCAGGTCGCATTTGGCAGCTCTGCCTGATCCACAGTGAGCAGAATCCCATTTCAACCACTATCTGGAGAAGGACATACTACTCTGAAGACCTAAGTCACTTCGCCACAGGGAGACTTGCCTGTGCTAGGGAAGTGTGAGTAATCAGGGAAAGAGCAGAGAAAACTTTGACACTGTGCTGAAGTTCTACTTCTGCAAGGCCAGTGAAAGCAAGAAAAGATGAGGAGTGAGAACAAATGCATTGCCACCTGCGATTCAAGAGCAAAGGTACCTGAGGAGGCAGGTACCTGTGACTTGACACATCCAACAGGGCTGACAGAGTTCTTCAAAGCATTAACTCACAGTTCATTCAGAATATGCAGCCCCCCACTCCAAAAAAAATGATTGATGTACATAGGGTCTTCTTCACACAATATACGCTCTAGTTTCTCAGTACTTTCCAAATAATAATAGATTTGTCTTTTCAATACTCATACCAAGCAAGAGAGTAGCATTTTAGAGAAGACCTAGCACTCCTGGAGGGAAGGTCAAATGCAGTCTACAAGGTGGGGATGCTGATCTGAGTGCTTTGCCAGAACGCTCTGCATTTTAAAGCCTTTTCTAGAGTCAAGTGCAGGTCCCCATTGAAGGAGGGAGAAATAAATACTCCCGCAAATGAGACATCAGGATCCTAGGATAGCACAAGGCTAAAAACAAAGCAAAATGCCAAAATAAATAAAACATAGCTAATAGCTACCTCTGAAAAGATTGCTGTGAGTGACTCGCTCAGCATCAGGTAGGAAATCCGCAGCAGGGGCAGGGATCCAAGCCAAAACACAACTGGCTCAACAATGAGTCACTCCTTTTTCTTCACACTTTTTGGGGAAAAAAACCCAACAACAACAAAAACAACAAAAACCCAAATTATACTGAGTCCCTGCAAAGAGCCTTTTTCATGACATAGCCCAGACTCATACAGAGCACCATCTAACCTGTGTGCTGCAGGTGTCCTGTGGAAAATAAATCTTTAGCCACATAATTAAAGACTCAACCATAACTCATATGCATGAGGACATTTAAGGGCAGTTGCACAGCCAGCCTTGGTGCTGACATTTCTCAGTGATGAGAAATGTGTATTCTGATAGAGAGCAGCAATTGCTTGTTGTCCTTAGCAAGGAGTAGCACTAGAAAGAGGTGAGACATGCTGTTGGGTGGCATTTAGGGTAACAGTACAGGAACAGTAAGGCTTGGGAGGAAGACTTGGGAGGAGACCCTTGTTAAGGCACTGGAGAAGTCTCTGGTCAGAGAAACACAAGCTGATATAGCCATCCTCCCTGTTCCCTTGTCCCCTCTAAGTTTCCCACTTTTGATTTCCTTTCTTAAGGCTTGTCACACGGCCCTAGGCTCTGGGCTCAGCCACTGCCCCTTCCCAGGTCCACCTCACCTGCCCTTCCCTGTTTCTTCCCCTTCTGTATGCCCAGGCTGAGTCTCCTGCCCAGACATACCAGGCTGGCTCAGCTGTGTGTCCTTGGCCAGTCAACCGCAGCCTTCCCACCACATGCTGTCCCCCTCCACACAAGCTGCTCCCTATCTCTAGTCCAAGCCTTCCTGCGTAGACGGTTGGTGGGAACTCCACTCCATCACCAGTCCCCATCTGTTACCAGAAACTCCCACTCCCCAGGCAAACAGTCTGAGTGCTGCCCATATCCCTTCCATCCCCTCTTCCTATTGCACTGACAATCACCCCTCCTCTGCTCTTCCCATTCCACATCTCTAATCACCATGCCTTTGCTCTTCCCATTCCCCATCTCACTGCCCCAGCCAGCCTTGCTTCCTGCTCCTGGTTCTCCTGGTTAGCTATCCCTAGTCACCCCAGCAGCTCTCACGCAATAGCCCCTTTGCAAACCAGACCTGGCATTTCCCTGCAGCTTGCAGTCTCATCTGCCT